CCTTAGTCCAGCGTGCACCCAGCACGTTTCAAACCGATCGGCGGGATGGCGCGAAGGATCTGCCTTCCCCCACTCTCGCCCGCTTGCGGCCACCTACCTACATTACACCTTAGGGGGAGGGGGGAATGCGATTACAGATCTTAGCTTTGTTAACCGTTATGCTTACTAACTCAGGGCTCACCACGTGAAGGTGCCTGTACTTCGACTTTGAAAATTGGTCCGCAAACAGACAATTCTGCAACAAGGAGAGGAGATACATCAGATAACGCGGTATTACGAAAACACACACCATCGAACCAAACCGAATCAACAATCAATATCACCAGAGAAGTCGGAGATAGAGAATCGATGATCCACTAACAGTAAAATTATATGAATCCTAGGTTTCCGTTTTGTGACTAACAGATCATTAAAATGTGTATCAGTAACGAGTAATTGTGAATGAGTAGAAGGATGAAACGTAAGGCACCAGGCAGCTAGACCCATAGACCCTCCCAGCCTTCAGCTCTTCCGGAATAAAAATGGCACATATCCCTGCATAAGAAATTAATAAAAAATGAAAAGGGACGAAAAGAAATAGGAAGCAGGCATTCGACGCAGATTATGGTGATCCCTGCCGCTCGGTCCGACGCAACTCAGCTTCAACTTTTAATTGGCTGGCCACAGGGAATAAAAAAAATCGGAGTCGGAGTCTCATTGGTTATGACTTAGTACAGCGATACGGAAAAAATTACTTTTCTTTTCAGATCTATGGTAAGCCTATCAGATCTTCAAGCAGTTTAAAAGCAGTACGAAGGAGGGAAAAAGTAAGAGCTTGCCCATTCACCTTGATACTGTGCCTATAACGAAAAAAGGAATCAATTCTAGAAGCCAATATATTTTCTAATGGCAAATAAGATTCTACAGCAACTAAACTAAATGACGTGTTCTAACGAGATTCTAGTGGTGAAGTATTGACTGTGGCAACCAATGCACACAGTTGCGACAGCAAAGGTACCAAAACCGAGGTGGTGGAGAACAAAAATAGCTCGCAGCAGAGTGCCATACAGCAAATGTATTATTGGTATATCGCTCATTTGGTTTTGATTGTACCATCAACTTTATTCGGTTGTGTATCGGCGGTTATATTAGCTGTAATTGTTTATTAGATACACGGAACAATAATATGTTGGAATCAAAATACCAGACACATCGCGTTAGTCGACAGTCAAACTGACCCACTTTATTCCACAAAACAGCCCGAGGTCCGAGGGCTGCGAGAGACTGTGCTTGTGCATCACTCACAAGGGAACCTTTTCAGGTGTAAATCCCCGATTTCGTTGAAACTTGGAAAATTTGAAGGTTATTTGTGTAGAAATCGGATGGCACTTGAAATTTTTCCTGAACCTCACAATTAGTTTTCCCCTATATAAGGGTAGGAGTACGGTTTTTATGCATGGTTTTTATGATATTTTTTTGTAAAATGTAAGGCAGTGTTCTAAGGGGTAACTCATCAAAGTAGCGCCCTCTGGGCCAAAATTTTGTCCGTTTTGCTCTATTTTGTACCGTTAAGGCGCTAGAGGGATATTTGAGACAAAAATCAGTGTAAGGCTTAAGTAAACCCCTAGTAACTGTGAGGTTCAGGAAAAATTTTAAGTGCCATCCGACTTCTTGTACAATAACCTTTAAATTTTCCAAGTTTGAACGAAATCGGAGATTTACACCTGAAAAGGTTCCCTTGTCAGGCAATCAGCCTTTTGTTGATCTACGAAATGAGTGGGTCAAAGGTCACGCGACTGCCAGCGAATTCAGCGAATAAATGGGAAACGGGAAAGAGGGGTCAGGATGGAAAGACGACAAAGAAAAAAGAGTACAAAATAGGGAGGGGGTACTTCAGTAGAATTTGATTAATAAGCGCCCAAAATGTCGCACAAACAGTAGGGTAAGTCGTATATCGCTTATTTTCGAACTCGGAACGGTAATAGATGTTTCTAGGTGCCATTTTGTCTGAATCTTCCGGGAAACTTAATATTTTTAAAAAAATTAAGTCCTTCATAGCCCTACCTCGCGTTTTATGTTCGAAATTCCATATTTTTACCGTTTTGGGGGGGATATACTCTCTTTTGATTATTTGGTGGTCCTACATCATAAAAATAGGATAAAGCCGAAAGGGTATATGCATATTCTACACTATTTATGTGTTAAACGAAATGTTATAAGGACAGGGTGTGCGTAGATGTCGTTATATTAGCAAAAACATAAAGGTTTATTAAATCTCAATTTCATTGGAGATGGTTTTAAAATTAGAAAACATATTTGTCAACAGGGTAAATAACGAATAAAATAACATAAACATACATAGAATGTCTCAAATAGAACTTTAGAATATTACTTCTCATATGGAGCTTTAAAGCTTGATTTGCTCACGAATTTGGGCATAGTTTTTCTCGCAGTGATAGCCGTGTTCACCTTTCCGTCTCGCCTGCTCTCACCGACAACTCTTGCTGCAGCCTGAGTCAGGTCGTGGACCTTCCTCTCCACGCCTTGTGTGTGGCAGGGCAGTCGAGGCAGATCCGGGATGGAGGTGATCATGTCTTGTATCGTGGCGTCCGGCAGGTCATTCAGCAACGGTGGGGCCGTGATGGTAGTAGTGTCCCAGTTGATCAGGTCGACGTAGTCTTCGGCCTGGAAGTTGATGTCGGGGACCACGAACCGCCGCACTCCCCGCCGGCGCTGTTGACTGTGTCTGGCCTCCAAGATCCTTTGGACAGCGACCTCCCTAACATCTTGGCGTGGGTCGACCACCATGGACAATAAGATATTCTCTGGATGGGCGTAGTAGGCCTTGATCGCGAGTGACTCGAAGATGATCTTCTGTGCCCTCCTCGGAAGACACCGTGGCAGAGAAATGTGTTGTAGAAGATGGCGGGGCCCTGAGGTTGCCAGCCAGTCCCTTCTGATGGAGAACCACAACACTGCATACACTTTCACGACGTACTCCGTCAGAACTTTAAGTGTTGCAGATGGTCTCCTAGTACCAATGTAGAGCCTTAGAATTCGACAGTTTGTAGTTGTCCAACGGCCATGGTATAATTTCCCACACTTCTTTGCAGCTACTTCTACCGGACAGTCACCAGAGGAAATAGCTTCGCAAAGATTGTACAGATGTCTCTGCT